CGTCGGGAGGACGTCCCAAAGCGCTTCACAGAACACACTGTAAAGTGAATTGACTGTATATTTGTGGGCGAACGCGGCAGCCAATTGCGCACAGCAATTGAGTCGAGTCAATTGCTCGTGGATTTTTTTTTGAGGGAATATTACCCCCGGAAAGTGATCCACCAATCGAACTGACAACCAGGTTCCTACTTACTGTTGGGTAAACAGAGGGTTGTGGGGTAAGGAAACTTGTTTAAGATTTGCCGGGAATCAAGCCCAGGTGAGCACTCTAACCAATACACTACTGGACTCCACATATGAATACGTAGTTGCCTTGTTTTCCTTGGTCAGAAGCAGATGAGTAGCGCCCCTGGACCTTACAAGGGTGGGGGGGGGGGGGGTGGAAACAATTCAGGAGACGATATCGGAGAAAGAAGTGCACAAGAAGTAAAATTCTTCCCTGAGGCTTTCATAAAGTTTCCCCTTTGCTTTATCTTTAATGCTTAATGGGATGTTTGCAGCAGGAGTGAGGCGTTGCTGATTAATCTTTTTTTCATCTTAAAGCTCTGCTCTCAAGCGTTTTCCTAAGAAAACAAGTCCATTCTTGTTCATTTAGACGTGTTTCCTTTGCTATGGGACAAACGCAATGAGTTGGGTGAACTGTGCGCTATTGTTATTATTATTGTCATGAACGCCACAGTATCCACTTCACCGGGTACGCTTTCGGAGCGCTTAACGGCGATGGAGCCTGATGCCGAACTGGGCAAAGAGGGTGGTGACCATAGGTACAGTCAAACTGCGATCTGCAGACCAGCAAGGAGGAGGCAAGGCAGATGGATTGAGGCAGAGGTCCGCACCTGAGCTGGTGGTTGTGATCAGGAGCGGTAGAGGGCGGGGAGGAAAGGGGCGGGAGGGTGACCGAAAGCACGGGCGCAGGGGAGGATCTTGAGATGGGTTTTGAAGGAGGAAATGGAGGGGGCGAGGAGGAGGGACTATGGATGGAATTCCAGAGGGTGAGGGCACAGAGGCTGAAGGCCCACCCACTAATAGTGGGGCAGACAACTTGGGGGGATGTGAAGCAGGCCAGAGCCCGCTGAACAGAGGGAACGAGCAGGATGGTAGGGGGTTGGGAGGTGACAGAGGTCGGGGGGAGCAAGACAATGGAGGGCTTTGAAGGTGAGGACCAGGATCTTGAACTGTACCCTCAGTGTGATGGGAAGCCAGTGGAGTCGGGCGAGGATGGTGGTGATAGGGTCACGGAGCCCCTTGCGGGAGAGGACATGGGCTGCAGAGTTCTGTATGATCTGCAACCTGTGGAGGGAGGAGTTGGGGAGGCCGACAAGCAAAGAGTTTGCGTAGTCGAGCCTGGATGTAATGAAGTTATGTATGAGAGTCTCGGGGGCCTGCGATGTGAGGCAATGGCAGAGCCGGGCAATATTGCGGAGGTGGGGGAAGGCAGAACGGGTCTTGACACAGATGTGGTGGTTGAAGGACAGTTGAAAGTTGAACAGGATGCTACAGGTGTAGTGAGCATCCATGAAGGGAGATGCTGTCAGCACCCAAGGTGTGGAAGCGCTGATGGGAGCCAACCAGGAGGAGCTCGGTCCTGTTGACATTCAACTCCAGGAAGATTACTTTCATCCAGGACTTGATGTCTGACAGGCAGTCTGCGAGGACATCAGTGGTCTGGGAATTGAGAGTGGAGGCAGAGAGAATGGAGTTAGGTGTCATCCACAAAGTGGAGACAGTGGGAGAGGTAGGATTGGGGACAGGCCAGGGCAGATACGTGAAGGTTGCCATGAGAGGAGAGGCGGTGGGGGCGAATAGAATGGTCGACAGTGTCGGAGGCAGCAGAGAGGTCGAGGAGGACAAGGCACAAAGAGAGCCTTGGTCGCAGATGGAGAAAAGAGAAGGGAGTTCCTCTCTCTCCCGGTGTCCTAGCCGACAATTCCCCAGATAAAGTTGGTCTCTCACTCCCTGGCTCTTTGGGTTAGTTGCTGCGTGTAAACTGACTGCTGTCCGTCTTCACCCACAAGCACACAGTAACTAACACCAGGCTCCCGGCCACTGCCGGCCAGTGCACTGTTGGGCGAGGCTCTGGCGCCACCGGGTGGTTGACTGTCAAGCTTCAGGTTTGATCAGGAACAATCTTCATTCACGTCAAACACAACAACAACAACAGATTGCGGTCGCACAGGGCCTCTCTCATCGCTCCTTCACTTCATGGCGGTTTGCGGGATGTTGCTGGGCTCAGGTTGGTTGGAGGCCGGAGCCCGCTGAGCGGAGGGAGCGGACGGGCAGTGACCGTGCGTTTTATCGTTGGACGCAGCAACCAATTTGCGCACAGCAACGTCCCGCTCACAGCCGTGGAGTGAATGACTGATGTTATCTGGGGGATTGTCAGCCAGGACACCGGGAGAGAGAGAGAAACTCCCTTCTCTTTTTCCGATAGTGTCACAGGATCCTTAACGTCCACCTGAACAGAGCACAGACGAGGAGTGAGGTTTAACATCTCACCTGAAGGACGGCGTCTCTGACAATGCCTCTTTCTCTCTCTCTCTCTCTCTCTCCCTCTTCCCCCCAGCACTGGGCTGGAGCATCAGCCTGGACTGTGAGCTCAGAGACCCCGACATGATGGAGGGAGGGGCTTGAACCCACAACCTCCTGAGTCGGGGAGATGGAGAGATCATTGGGGAGGGAGAGGGAGAGGGTGAAGGGAGAGGGTGTTTTGGGCAGTGACTGGGACACCCAGAACCCCATCGCAGTGCCGAAGAGTCTCCAAACCAGACTGAGAGTGTTCGCAAATCCACACGTCCTCATCAAGCTCTTGGATGTCCTTTCCGGAATGTTCCACAGCGCCAATATCCAACCTGCAGCGGAACCAACGAACACGACGTCTTTGTGTGTTGGATTAACTGAATTAATACAGAACTCCGCTGCCCAGACTCTCACCCGCACAAAGCTCCCGTCCCCCACTCCATCCCCCCACTCCCCCACCCACTGCCTCCACTCGACTGGCTCCGGTCTCCTGTCCGTCCCTCAACCCCCTCCACTCCATCTGTGGCCGTGCCTCCAGCCACTACTCCCTAAAACTCTGGAACTCTCTCCCTCAATCCCTCCGCCTCACCCCCTCCCTCCCCACCTTCAAATCACACCTAAAGGCCTTCCTTTTTGATGGCACTGACGGTCACCTCCCCCCTCCCTCTCCCCCTGGCTCGGGGTCCGACTCCGGGACACTAGCCCGTGTGAAAGGCGCAGTATAAATGCAAGTTGTCGTTGTTCGCTGTCGCAGTGTATGTTGTGTATATGGCGCGTTTCACGTCGGCTCAACAGCAACCAACAACAACAATAATAATCCCTCCATTTCATACAGCGCCTTATCACGTCTTCGAGACGTCTCGAAGCGCTTCACAGAATACACTGTGAAGTGAATTGACGTGTACTTTGTGGGCGAAACGCGGCAGCCAATCGCGCACAGCAGCGTCCCCACAAACAGCCGTGGATTGAGCGACCAATTTATTATTATTTTATTTATTATTCATTTTTTTTGAGCGATTGTTACCCCCGGAAAGTGATCCACCAATTGACTGTAACAACTGGGTTGGTTCCTGCTCACTGCCGGGGTAAAGAGGCGTGCGGAGTAAGGAAACTTGCCCAACGTTTCGTGAATTGCATTTACCCAGCGCCTTTCGTGTCGGGAGAACGTCCCAAGGCGCTGGGGACAGCGAAGGGCTTGGACCTGGGCTACGGGCTGGGCTGAGGTCAAGAGGGGAGGTGGAGAAGGGAAGGTGATCGAAAGCGCGGTCCAAGAGGAGGGTCTTGAGACGTGGCTTGAAGGAGGCGAGGGAGGGAGGGAGGGAGGGAGGTGAAGGGACTGTGGGATGGAGTTCCAGTGGGTGGGGGCAGAGAGGCTGAAGCCCCAACCGCCGATGGTGGGGCGGGCGGGGGACGTGGAGCAGGCCTGAGCTCGCCGAGCGGAGGTTGCGGACAGGTTGACATGGGGTTCGCTGGTCACGGAGGTAGTGGGGGGGCTTTAGAGGTGAGGACCAGGATAAGGGGGACAGCAGTGACAGAGACCCGAACACACAGTGAGTTTAATGCGGCTTTTAACCCCTTCACGGCCGCCGTGCAGGGCTGGGCGCAATGACCCATGACAACAGGCACCTCGATTGCCACGGTGACCCGTCACACCGATGGTGACAGAGCCTGTGGCTTCACCGTAAGGCAGGACAGTCAGAGTGGGAATGGCCAAAGATTTGCTTGCACACACATACAAACGCACGCACACGCACACACACACACACAGGCACACACACACGTACGCACAGATTCATACAATTACACACAGACACACATGCGCACACACACAAGCGCACACACAGACATACATACACATGCGCGCACACACAAGTGCACACACCCGTGTGGACACACACACACACATGCATACATTCACAAGCGCACACATACACACACGCGTGCGTGCGCACAAACAAATGCACACGGACATACACATGCCCACACACACACACAAATCACATGGGCGCACACACATACACACACATGCGGGCACACAACTGCGTGCACACACAAACATGGACACACACACAGATGCATACACAAACAAGTTTCGTCTCCAGGCCCAACCCGGAAAGCGGCTTTTCCTGAGGTTTTTTTGATGGCTGGGTGACTGTTTTACGCTGACTGTTAGGTCAAGGCGGGGGATATAAACCTCCCCCCCACCCCCACTGCCCCGTGCCCAGCTTGCTAAGCCTCGAGGGGAGATACTATCGTAGGTCGGGTCTGGGATTCGGGGCTAGTTCAGGTCTGACGCCTCCTCTGTGAGTACCAGCTTGTTCCCGTGCATTATCGGCAAATCCCATGATAATAATAATAATTACCCTTGCATTTGAGACGTCTCAAAGCGCTTCGCAGCATACACTGTAAAGTGCAGTGACTGTGTGCTTGGCGGGCAAAACGCGGAGACAATTGCGCAGAGCGGCGTCCCACAAACAGCCGTGGATTGAGTGACCCAAATTATTATTAAAGATTATTGTCATCTCAATACTGTGCAGAGATTGTTAAATACTGTATAACAGGAGCCGGGGAATGTACAGGATTATAGGACGGTCATTTGTGAATTATTCTTTTCGTTCGAAGTGCAATGCGGAGCAACGCTCTGGAAGATTCTCAGTCCGTCTGTCTCCGCACAGGAAATGACAGATGTCTCCCTCAGAGGTGGGGGTCTGGGCGGAGGTGGGTGGCCAGGCTGTTTGGGCGGGCAGCCAGGATATAAATGGCGCTCTCCTTCAGGAAAGTTTTCCAGTCCAACAGCCTGGAAAGAGAGAGAGAGAGAGAGAGAGAGAGAGTGACAGAGATAAACAGAGAAAGAGGAGGAAGAGAGAGAGAGAGAGAGAGAGCGCGTCAGACAGAGAGAGAGAGACAGGGTTGGTGAGACACAGAGATAGAGAGAGACAGAGTGAGTGAGGGAAAGAGAGAAAGAGACCAATAGAGAGAGAGAGAGAGGTTATTCGCATTTCCTTACCGCGCTCAAATCACTCTCTCTCTCTCCCTGGAGGGTCACATTCTGCTCACAAGCAGAGAGAGAGAGTGCGTATTCAATCCCAACGATCTATCTCTGGGAATTCCGGGTGTCGGTGGGAGGCAATGAAAAAAATCTCAGTTGGGTTTGGAGACTCTAAAGCAACGGTGATGGGTTTCCGTGTGCGTCAGACACCCGACTAACGGTGAAGGGCTTCTGCTTGTGTCAGGACACCCGGTGTGTCCAACAACTCCCAGTCCCGCTGACACAGCAGTTATTACTGTACGTAAGGCATCCTCCTGCCCTCCACGCTCCTGCCCTCCACCCTCCTGCCCTCCACCCTCCTGCCCTCCACCCTCCTGCCCTCCACCCTCCTGCCCTCCACCCTCCTGCCCTCCACCCTCCTGCCCTCCACCCTCCCGAACCCCCAGCTTGGGTCCAAATCCCTGACTGTCCAGCGCCTTGGGACATCCTCCCGACATGAAAGGCGCTGCGTAAATGTAATGTGTTGCTGTTGCTGGAATCTACCCCCCACCCCCCGCCAACCGGGAAGGGGTTAGAGTATCTCTGGGGGGTGGGGGGAGCTCAGGGTCACCTGTTGCTCGCTTGGACCCCCCAACTACACCATCTCACCTGTTATCCTCGCTGGACAGAAGGCTCTTGTCCTGCGCTCGCTCTCGTCCCCTGCTGGAGGGGCTGCTCTCCGATATCGGGCCAACGTGACTGATACTGACAGAAAGACAGAGAGAGTCAGAGCACACAGTGACCGCAGCTCCGTCTCACACACAGCGTCTCACACACAGCGTCTCACACAGGGTCTCACACACAGCGTCTCACACACAGGGTCTCACACACAGCGTCTCACACACAGCGTCTCACACAGCGTCTCACACACAGTGTCTCACACACAGCGTCTCACACAGTGTCTCACACACAGTGTCTCACACACAGCGTCTCACACACAGTGTCTCACACACAGCGTCTCACGGGTTTGTGTGTGTGTCAGACACCCGGCTGGTCACGGTGATGGTTTGTGTGTGTGTGTGTCAGACACCCGGCTGGTCACGGTGATGGGTTTGTGTGTGTGTCAGACACCCGGCTGGTCACGGTGATGGGTTTGTGTGTGTGTCAGACACCCGGCTGGTCACGGTGACGGGTTTGTGTGTGTGACAGACTCCCGGCTGGTCACGGTGACGGGTCTTCGCGAGTGTCAGCTGTACGTTTTCAGTTGGGTTAAACTCATCGACGTGAAGGGAAGGAGGTGCGAAAGGGACATGGAAAGTTCCGGAAGCGATCGCTCACCTGACGTTACAGGACTGCGATTCCTTGGAGTGTTTGCGGAACCAGGAGGTCTGAGCTCTCTGACACTCGCTCCCGGTGACTCTCCCCTCGCTATCCCGGCTCAGAGACAGGAAGACAGCTCGAGCCCGGCTCAGCTCCTTCCCCGACACCAACCTCAGCAGGGAATTCTGAGGACAAAGACAGCGTGTGGACTGTTAATATCACTGTCTGGCAGCTTCCCCGCTGCTTGTCCAGCGAGGACCACCCTCCCCGTTAGTTAGGGCTTTGGCTTCAGGGCTCACAGGAGCTGAGGGGGAGGATTCCCGGCCCCCAGTGACTGGTCGGCCCTTCCAGGTCCTGCCGTTGAGCCGGGCCGGGCTGTGCTGTCATCCGTGAGGAACACTCATCTTTGAGTGAGAAGGTTGTGGGTTCAAACCTCACGTGGGGATTCGGAATCACACAGTGCAGCAGTGACCCCACAAACATGGAGTCCTGTAGCTCAGCGATTAAAGCACTCGCCTCGCAAGCGAGAGACGTGGGCTTGATTCCCGGTAGGGCGAAATCTTAATGATCCCTCAAGACAAAAAGCAATAATAATTTTTTGGTCACTCCATCCACGACTGTTTGTGGGGACGCTGCTGTGCGCAATTGGCTGCCGCGTTTCGCCCACAAAATATACAGTCAATTCACTTTACAGTACATTCTGTGAAGCGCTTTGAGACGTCTCGAAGACACGAAAAGCGCTATATCAAATGCAAGGATTCAAGGATTAAACGGCCTTGAAGTGAAGAACGAGCGATTTTATTTGGGGATCGTCAGTCAGGACACCGGGAGAGAGAGAGAGAGAGAGAGAAAGAGAGAAAGGGAGAGAGAGAGAGAGAGAGGGTGGGGGGGTGGGGGAAAGAGAGAGCAAGGAAGAGAGAGAGAGACAAAGCGAGAGCGAGAGGGAGAATTTCCCTTCTCTTTAACGTGCACGCTCCCAGAGGATGTAAAGTTAACGTCAAAAATCTCCAGTCAAAAAACGTGGCCACCAAAAAATGGTCCGTCCAGCCTCCTCCTCCTCCTCCACCCCAATCTATCCTCCACTACCCCACCTCGCTGCCCATTCTCCCCTCCTGTCCCCCCAACCCCCACCCCCACCCTCACCAGTCCCTGTACCTGGGAGCGGAATCTCTGGAGCACCATGAGGGACTCGTGGTACAGGAAGTCTGACCACTCGATCTGTCCCTTCCGGTCGCCATCCAGAGCAGAAAACTGAGCCAGAACCTCCTCCTCCTGCTCCTCACTCATCTGCCGCTCAAACAGCTGCTTGTGGATCTGGTGCTTATAGTGCAGGAAGTCATCGCTGGTCAGACACGACTCTGTACACACCCACAAACACAAACACAGGGAATTATACACAGCGACACGCACACACACGCACACACACACACACAGTCATACACACAGCACAGCAGCCAGAGTTACACACACAGAGTTATACACACACACACACACACACAGACACAACCCCCGATGGTGCAGTGGAGGGGACGAGGGACAATCAGGAGGCCGGAGCGGAGGGAGTGGGTGGTGGAGTGGGGGGGTGACCAGGTCGGGGAGGCAGGGACGGGCGAGGGCATGAGGGCACTTGAGAACGAGCGAGAGGAGCTTGAAGTTGATCCGTTGGGTGATTGGGAGCCAATGGAGCCTGACAGGGACTGGGGCGATGGGGGGGATGGAGTTTTGTGAGGGCGAGTGTCCGTCCGGGCTGTGGCGTTCTGAATGAATTGTATTGCGTGTGCGGTGGAGCTGGGGAGACCAGCGAGGAGGGCGATGGAATAGTCCAGCCGGGAGGTGACGAAGGCCTGGACGAGGGTTTCAGCTGTGAGTTGAGGCACGGGCGGAGGCGGGCGATGCGGGAAAAGGCGGCGCTGGTCGGGGAACAGATGTGGGGGAGAAGGGAAAGCTGGGGATCGAACCTGAGTGGGTGGGGGAGAGGGTGACAGGTGGTCAGGGGGGAGCTGGGGGTGGGGGGGTCACTGACCTGGGATGACACGGCACTGATGGAATATTTCCTTCAGACTGAACATCTCCTCCTCGGTCAGTAAGAGGTTTACATTGTCCTGGAGACGGAGAGAGAGAGAGACAGAGAGAGAGACAGAGAGACAGAGAGAGGTTGGGTCACTGCGCTGTGAGCAATGTAACACACAGGAGCTGCTATAATACAGGACTCACCTTCCTGGCTCTTCTTATAAGAATAATAATTAATAATAATAATAATAATCCTTGCATTTGATACAGCGCCTTATCACGTGGTCCAGACGTCTCACAGGAGACACTGCAAGGTGTAGTGACTGTCTTTTTCTGGACGCAACGCGCCCAGCGGCAAACAGCCACGGATTGAGCGACCAAATGATTATTTTCTTGGAAGGGATCGTCACCCCCGGAACAGCGATCCGCCGATCGACTAACCAACCGCGGGGGTTCCTACGCACCGCCGGGTAAACCGAGGCGCGTTGTGCGTGTTGAGTAAGGAAACCCGCCCGACGTGTCGCCCCCCCGCCCCCCCTCGCCCCCACCCCACCCCGCCCGGGCATCGAACCCGGGTCCTCTCGCTTGCTCCTCTAACCACTGGAGCGACACTTCTCGCTCCGATGCTCTCCCAGACTGCCACCCACCCACCCACTCCCCCCCACCCCACCCCTCACCCTCCGTCACCCTAACATCGGGAAGGACAGCTGCCGCGAGCTGCGACCTTGTTGATGTCCTGTTTAATGTGCTGTTGGACGGCTGCCCGGGTTTCTATATTAGGCTCTCGCTTCAGTGATCGTGGTGTGTGAGACCAGACGCTCGCTCTGGCTCCATACCTTCCCCCCCCACCCACCCACCCCGCCTTCTCAGCCCTGCCCCCTCCTCCGCCCACCCCTCTCTCCGCCCCACCCCTTCTCTCCGCCCCGCCCCTCGCTCTCTGCCCCACCCCCTTTCTCCACCCCGCCCTTCTCTCCACCCCGCCCCTCACTCTCTGCCCCACCCCCTCTCCATCCCGCCCTCTCTCTCTCTGCCCCACCCCCTCTCCACCCCACCCCTCTCTCTGCCCCAACCCCTCTCCACCCCGCCCCTCTCTCTCTGCCCCACCCTCTCCACCCCACCCTCTCTGCCCCAACCCCTCCCCACCCCGCCCCTCTCTCTGCCCCACCCCTCAACCCCACCCTCTCTGCCCTACCCCTCTCTCCACCCACCCCCCTCTCTCTCTACCCCACCCCCTCTCCATCCCGCCCCTCTCTCTCTCTGCCCCACCCCTCTCCACCCCACCCCTCTCTCTGCCCCAACCCTCCCACCCGCCCTCTCTCTCTGCCCCTCTCTCTCTGCCCCACCCCTCAACCCCACCCCTCTCTGCCCCACCCCCTCTCTCCACCCCACCCCCTCTCTCTCTGCCCCACCCCCTCTCCACCCCACCCCTCTCTCTCTGCCCCACCCCTCTCTCCACCCCACCCCTCTCTCTCGGCCCCACCCTCTCTCTGCCCCACCCCCACCCACCTTCTATAGATGAGACGTTAAACCTCACTCCCCGCCTGTACCCTGCACAGACGGGGAGTGAGGCTTAACATCTTGTCCGAAAGACGTCTCTGACAATGGCGCTCTCTCTCTCTCTCCCCCACCCCCACCCCCCCCCATCCCCAGCGCTGCGCTGGAGTTCAGAGTCCCTCAACATTGGGGGGGTGGGAGTCTCAAACCCATAAGCTCCTGACTCAGAGGCGAGGCTCCAGCAATAGGAGTAATTACCCAATACCTGCTATGTTGGCCGGCTGACGTCTCTGGGGACGAGGGGGGACCTCACACAGGCCGCCGATTGCCAGGCGAGGCGACGCGAAGGCACGCTGGCAACAAGCCAGTGGCTCTCACCAGCCCTCGCCTCGGTCAGACCACCAACTTGGAGACCGTGTTCAGTTTTGGGCACTGCAACCTCAGGCCCTGGAGGAGGCGCAGAGCAAGTTCGCCGGAATGCAACCGGTGGCTTAAAGGGGTTACGATCATCCTTGCATTTGATTATAGCGCCTGACCACGTCTCAAAGCGCTTCACGGGATATATCGTAACGTGAAGGGACTGTGCATTTTGCGGTTGCACACAAACCATCGTGGATTGAGTGTCCTCCGCAGATTATGAGGACAGGTTGCATTAACTTGCTTTGCGGACACAGGATTTAAGCGTGTGCGTGTTTGTCTCTCATATGCTGCCTCTCTCTACACTGTCTCTCTCTCTCTCTCTCTCATACTGTCTCACTCACACACTGTCTCTCTCTCTCTCTCTCACACACTGTCTCACACACTGACTCTCTCTCTCACTGTCTCTCTCACACACTGTCTCTCTCACACAGTCTCTCATACGGTCTCTCTCTCTCACTGTCTCTCTCTCTCACTGTCGCTCTCACACACTGTCTCTCTCACTGTCTCTCTGTTCCACATTTCTCCTCGATCGCCCTTTCTCTCTTCTTCATTCTTTGAAATTGGTCCAACACCCATTTTAAGAGAAGCACCGACTGTGGGCAGTGCTCCTCTCCACCACCACCACCACCACCACCAGCCCCAACCCCCAGCGCTGCCCTCACCCCCACACAGCCCCCAGCCCCACCCTCAGCCCCAACCCCCAGCTCTGCCCTCACCCCCACACAGCCCCCAACCCTGCCTCCACCCCAGACCACTCCCAACCCCTATCTCCACCCTAGCTCCAACACCCAACCCAGACTCATCCCCCAACCCCTATCCCCACCCTAGCCCCCAACCTCACCCCAGCCCTGCCCTCACCCCCACACAGCCCCCAGCCCCACCTCCATCCTCAGCCCCACCCCCAACCCTATCCCCACCCTAGCCCCACTCTCAACCCCCATCCCAGCCCCAGCCCCCAATCCCTATCCCCACCGTAGCCCCAACTCCCAGCCCAGCCCCTAGCCCAGTCCCATCCCCACCCGAGCCCAAACCACAGCGCCGCCCTCGCCCCCACCCCAGCCCCCAAAGTCCCCCCACTCCTCCCCAGCCTCACCCCCACCCCCAGCCCCTGTAAGGGTTAATTTAAACTTGTGACGGTGGAGGGTGGAGGGGGAATTAGAAACCGACACAGATGTTAAATACGGTTTGGAAATGGAAGTATCTGTGTAAGCTGATGAGTTGGGTTTAGTGAGTTGGAGATTGATTGATGGCGTGTGAGGTGGCGTCAATTATACTGAGCAGTGGCAGCTCTATCTCCAGCCAATATTATCTCCTGTATAATTGGATGCATCAGCAGTTAGTCAGGGGCTCGAGGGGCCGAATATCCTACGTCTTATGGTCTTATGGTCTGATCCCATTTGGTGGGTAACTATCCGGGAGGGTTTCCTGGGCTCCAGCCTCTCACTTCCTTATTAACTCGGTCTTTGGAAAGACTGAATTAATAAACATCTCGATTCCTGTACAACATTTGTCACTCATTACTTCATCACAGGGTCACGAATTTCATTTAACACTTACGTCACAACCCAGGACCCCCCCAACCCTCCACGCTCACCACCCCCCCACACACACACACTCACCTAACCCCATCCCCCCCCAAACCTCCACACTCACCCCCCCTCTACACCCAACCCAACCACACCACAGACCCCCAGCTCCACCCTCACTATCACCCCCACCCCCACCAGTCACACAGTCTGTCACCTTCAGCCTCTCGACTCACACATACACCCCCACACACGCACTCACACTCAACGCACACACACACACACAGAGCCACTAACACACAATCATTCACACGTACACATATGTACAGTGGGGGAGGGGAGTGTGTGTGGGTGTGTGTGTGTGAGTGTGCATGTTTGCATGCGGATGTGGGTGCGTGCGTGTGTGTATGTGGGTGTGTGTGTGTTGGGGAAGGAGGGGGCGTGTGGGTGAGTGTGACTTACGCAGTAATGGCAGCTCCAGCCCACCATGGTGAGAGCGGTTTCCTGTAGCTCCTGGATGCTGGCGGGGCTGAGGCAGGCCATGCGCCGCAGACAACCATCGTGGTAAACCCGGGGACACACGCGGCACGGGAACAGCTCGTCCGCCGTCCACACCTCACAGATCTCACACATTTCCTCGTTCCTCACCTGGAACCACAACACCACACGGCACAGGGTCAGCCCAGCACCATCATCAGCCACAGAATCCCATCACCGCGACCAGCCGGGTGTCTGACACACACACAAACCCATCACCGTGACCAGCCGGGTGTCTGTCACACACAAACCCATCACCGTGACCAGCCGGGTGTCTGACACACACACATACACAAACCCGTCACCGTGACCAGCCGGGTGTCTGACACACACACAAACCCATTACCGTGACCAGCCGGGTGTCTGACACACACACACAAACCCGTCACCGTGACCAGCCGGGTGTCTGACACACACACAAACCCGTCACCGTGACCAGCCGGGTGTCTGACACACACACACAAACCCATCACCGTGACCAGCCGGGTGTCTGACACACACACACAAACCCATCACCGTGACCAGCCGGGTGTCTGTCACACACACAAACCCATCACCGTGACCAGCCGGGTGTCTGTCACACACACAAACCCATCACCGTGACCAGCCGGGTGTCTGACACACACACAAACCCATCACCGTGACCAGCCGGGTGTCTGACACACACACAAACCATCACCGTGACCAGCCGGGTGTCTGTCACACACACAAACCCATCACTGTACTTAAGAGTCTCCAAACCAAGCTGTTCATCCCACCTACACCTAGAAATCCCGGAGTGTGTGTTGGGGTAACTGCTGGAGTGTAACCCACTAAACCCACACAGCTCGGACATTGAGATCACTGTCTGGCAGCTTTCCCGCTGCTCGTCCAGCGAGGACCACCCTCCCCGCTGGGGCTTTGGCTGCGGGGGTAACAGGAGCTGAGTGGTTATTGTCAGCTTTTCATCTCAGTCGAAAGAACCTGGTCTGCTCCCGCTCTCTGGAACCCCATCCTGGAGCCCCTCCGACTCCCTCCCTCCCCTCGTTCAAGGTCCATCTCAAGAACTTTCTCTCTGACCGCAATGGTCAGCGAGGCCACTGGGAGAGAGTGACAGTAACTCTCTTCTCTTTTCCAACAGCGCCGTGGGAGATCTTTAACTACTGTGTCTCTAACCCTGACCTGGGAGTGTGGACGCACAGTGTAGTGACTGTGCGTTACTGTGTCTGTAACCCTGACCTGGGAGTGTGGACGCACAGTGTAGTGACTGTGTGTTACTGTGTCTGTAACCCTGACCGGGGAGTGTGGGTGCACAGTGTAGAGGAGCTTTCTCCTGTGTTAATTCTGACACAGCGTTCGCACAATTTGTTGTGATGAAAAGTTAGAAACTAAATCGCTGCTTTTGCAGATAATTAAACATCAATTAGTGAGTGAGCGGCGAACATCCGGTCTGAACCACAGCGGTAATTACAGCTGAACAGCACTGACTGCTGACCCTGTCTCTGTACCACACACACAGCCCCCACCCCACAGCACACACAGCCCCCACCCCCCACAGCACACACACACACACAGCCCCCCCCCCCACAGCACACACACACACACAGCCCCCACCCGCACACACACACACACACAGCCCCACAGCACACACACACACACACACAGCCCCCACCCACAGCACACACACACACACAGCCCCCACCCCCCACAGCACACACACACACACAGCCCCACAGCACACACACACACACAGCCCCCACCCCACAGCACACACAGCCCCCACCCCCCCCACAGCACACACACACACAGCCCCCACCCCCCACAGCACACACACAGCCCCCACCCCCCACAGCACACACACAGCCCCCCCCCCACAGCACACACACAGCCCCCACCCCCCACAGCACACACAGCCCCCACCCCCACAGCACACACAGCCCCCACCCCCCACAGCACACACAGCCCCCACCCCCACAGCACACACACACACACACACAGACCCCCCCCACAGCACACACACACACACAGCCCCCCCCCCACAGCACACACAGCCCCCACCCCCACAGCACACACACAGCCCCCACCCCCCACAGCACACACACAGCCCCCCCCCCCACACACACACACAGCCCCCACCCCCCACAGCACACACACACAGCCCCACCCCCACAGCACACACACAGCCCCCCCCCACACAGCACACACACACACACAGCCCCCACCCCCACAGCACACACACAGCCCCCACCCCCCACAGCACACACACAGCCCCACCCCACAGCACACACACAGCCCCCCCCCCCCCCCACAGCACACACACACACACAGCCCCCACAGCACACATACAGCCCCCCCCACAGCACACACACACACACAGCCCCCACCCCCCACAGCACACACACACACAGCCCCCACCCCCCACAGCACACACACACACAGCCCCCACCCCCACAGCACACACACACAGCCGCCCCCCCACAGCACACACACACACACAGCCCCCACCTGCACACACACACACACAGCCCCCACCAGCACACACACACACAGCCCCCACCCCACACACACACACAGCCCCCACCCCCCACAGCACACACACACACACAGCCCCCACCCCCCACAGCACACACACACACACAGCCCCCACCCCCCACAGCACACACACACACACACACACACACACACAGCCCCCACCCCCCACAGCACACACACAACAGCCCCCACCCCCCACAGCACACACACACACACAGCCCCCACCCCCCACAGCACACACACACACACAGCCCCCACCCCCACAGCACACACACACACACACACACACACACACAGCCCCCACCCCCCACAGCACACACACACACACACACACACACACACAGCCCCCACCCCCCACAGCACACACACACACACACAGCCCCCACCCCCACACACACACACACAGCATATACACACACACACAGCATATACACACACACACAACATATACACACACACACAGCATATACACACACACACAGCATATACACACACACAGCATATACACACACACACAGCATATACACACACACACACAGCATATACACACACACACACATAGCATACACACACACAGCATATACACACACACACACACAGCATACACACACAGCATATACACACACACACACACAGCATACACACAGCATACACACACACACACAGCATACACACACACACAGCATATACACACACACACAGCATACACACACACAGCATATACACACACACACACACAGCATATACACACACACACACACAGCATATACACACACACAGCATATTCACACACACACACAGCATATACACACACACACAGCATACACACACACACACAGCATACACACACACACACAGCATATACACACACACAGCATACACACACACAGCATATACACACACACAGCATACACACACACACACAGCATACACACACACAGCATACACACACACAGCATATACACACACACACACACACAGCATATACACACACACACACACACAGCATATACACACACACAGCATATTCACACACACACACAGCATATACACACACACACAGCATACACACACACACACAGCATACACACACACACACAGCATATACACACACACAGCATACACACACACAGCATATACACACACACACACAGCATACACACACACACACAGCATACACACACACACAGCATATACACACACACAGCATATACACACACACAGCATACACACACACACAGCATATACACACACACACAGAGCATACACACAGCATACAGACACGCAGCATATACACACACACACAGCATACACACAACATACACACACACAGCATATACACACACACACAGCGTACACACACACACAGCGTACACACACACACAGCATACACACACACACAGCATATACACACACAGCATATACACACACACAGCATACACACAGCATACACACAGCATACACACACAGCATATACACACACACACAGCATATACACACACACACAGCATACACACACACACAGCATATACACACACACACAGCATACACACACACACAGCATATACACACACACACAGCATACACACACACAGCATATACACACACACAGCATACACACAGCATACACACACACACAGCATATACACACACACAGCATACACACAGCATACACACACACACAGCATATACACACACACACACAGCACACACACACACAGCATATACACACACACACACAAACAACTCCACCCCCACATCACACCCCTGTGGGCCAGGACACTGAGGGGGGGAGAGAGAGAGTGAGAGAGAGAGAGAGAGAGAGAGAAACTCACTCATCTTTTCCCAACAACTCCTCGGGAATGTTTAATGTCCCCCCAAACTGACACAGATGGGGGGGGGCTCAGCCCTCTGCCCCCCCCCCCCCCCCCCCCCACACTGTGAGACTCACTGCGATGACGAGGCTGCGAGAGGTTCCCCTGTGAGACGCAGTAATTATTAGTAATAATAATAATAAGCTTTGCATTCGATTACAGCCTTATCACGTCATTGAGACAATCTCCAAGCGCTTCGGATGGTGCTGTAAAGTGTAGTGACTGTGTTTTGTGGGCGAAACGGGGCAGCCAGTTCGCGCACAGCAAGTGTCCCGCGAACAGCCACGGAGTGAGTGACCAATTTTATTGGGGGGCGGTGGTGGGGGGGGTTGTTGGGTTGTTGTTCAGGACAGCGGGAGGGAGAACAGGCGGACTGGACCTCGGTTTAACGTCACACACCACACGCCAAAGGACGGCATCGTCGACAGTGCAACCCCACCCCACCCCACCCCCCAGCACTGCATTGGAGCATCAGCTTAGACTATGTGATTCCTTGTCAGACGGTGATCTCAATGGCCGAGCGGTGTGGGTTTAGTTGGTTAGACTCCCAACAGTTACCCCAACGCACTCTCTGGGCTCCCCCCCAGGCCTTGGCTCTCACCAACCTGCGCCTAATACTCTCCGGAATTAGGTAAACAGGAGGCCTCCCTCCAGGGAGATAGAGAGAGAGCGAGAGAGAGAGAGAGGGAGAGAGCGCATTTCATTCCAACAATCTATCTCTGGGTTTCCGTGTGTAGGTGGGATACAGTTTGGTTTGGAGACTCTTAAGCAATGGTGATGGGTTTCCATGTGTATCGGACACCCGGTTGGGCCACAAAACCCTCCAGAGGTGAGGGCGCTATGTATAAGAAGGAGCTGTACCTCCTCCGTCTCCGCCAGGTTGATGTCCAGTGACTGATCGTCTCCGAGCTGCCTCTTGGGCCTGATGAAGGCGGGCGGTGTCGCTCTGTCCTCCCACTCCAGCTCCTCCGGCTCCACTCCCTTCCCATCCCGCAGCCTCGCCCAGGCCCCTCGGTACTTCCTCGCCACCTCGCTGCAGGCCTGGGAGTCCGAGGCAGCCCCCTCCTCACCCTCGGCCCCCACCTCCACCACCTCCAGCCCTCCAGCGGAGGGCTCCGCCCGTCGCCTGCCCGGGCCCCTCTCCTTCAGCCCGTCCTTGAAGGCTGAGACCACCAGGCTGACCTTCTGCACCTGCTCCACCGTCTGCTTCTTGGACATGAGGACCCCCATGATGGTGGTGTCCTCACGAGGCTCCCTCACACACTCTGAGCCTCGTCACTCTCACAGCATCGCAGCTCACACGCAACCAGCCTAAGCCACTCACTGCACCGAAGCCACAGCCCAGTGTACGTCTGTCCTGAGAACAGAGAACAGCGGTTATATCATCTCCTCCTCCATTGCTCTGCTCTGCGTGAAATAATCACTCAATCCACGACTGTTGGTGGGACACTGCTGTGTGCAAGTGGCTGCCGCGTTTCGCCCACAAAATACACAGTCACTACACTGTACAGCATGTTCTGCGAAGCGCTTTGAGACGTCTCAAAGACGTGATAAGGCGCTGCATCAAATGCAAGGATTATTATAATATGTTCCACAGTTTACCGCTCTCTCACTGAAGTAGTTTCCACAGATTTGTTCTGAATTTACCCCCCCACCCCCCCACCCCCCACTTCAGTCGTAAGCTGTATCCTCTGGTTTTACTGTTCAGTTCAAGATAAAACAGCTTAAGGATGGGAGTGGGAAGGGATTTGATTTATTGGGATTGTCTATCCTCGTCCTCAACTTCAAAGCCCTCCATGGCCTCGCTCGTTCCGAACCCTGTATCAACCTGTCCGCTCCCTCCACTCCGCAGGTTCCCGCCTGCTCCACTTCCCCTGCCCAGCCCGCCACCACCACCCCCACCATCGACTGTCGGACCTCCAGCCTCTCTGCCCCCACCGTTTGGAACTCCATCCCACAGTCCCTTCACCTCAATCCCTCCCTCGCCTCCTTCAAGGCCCATCTCAAAACTCTCCTCTTCGACCGCGCCTTCGGTCACTACCTCCTATCCCCACCCTCCCCGCCCTCCACCCCTCCTGATCCTGACCCCCAGCTCGGGTCCATATTCCTAACTGTCCAGCGCCTCGGGACGTCCTCTTGATGTGAAAGTGCTGTGTAAATGTAATGTGTTGTTGTTTGTTGCTTATAATGGATGGGAATGGGATGGTTTATTGTGTGTACAGTGGGTGGGAATGGGAATGGTTTATTGGGAGAGTGTACAGTGGGTGGGAATGGGAATGGGATGGTTTATGGGGAGCGTGTACAGTGGGTGGGAATGGGATGGTTTAGTGGGAGAGTGTACAGTGGGTGGGAATGGGATGGTTTATTGGGAGAGTATACAGTGGGTGGGAATGGGATGGTTTATTGGGAGAGTGTACAGTGGGTGGGAATGGGAAGGGGTTGCTTTGGTTCGGATTATCTACAACAGGAAAGTTGCAATTATTGTCCAGTGTAGTGACTATTTTTTCACAGTTAAACCCTTTGACAGACAGGTTTTGCACACAACCATGAAGTGAAGTGGAGTTCTGCAGCTGAGTGGTTAGAGCACTCGCCTCGCAGGCGGGAGGGACTGGGTCTGATTCCTGGGCAGAGCAAAAACTTAGGACAAGTTTCGTTACTCTACACACCTCAGTTTCCCTCGCAGTTGTTCCTGTCCATTAACGGATCGTTTTTAGGGGGTAATAATCCCATTAAAAAAAAGTCACTCAAGCCACGACTGTTTGTGGGACGCTGCTGTGCACAATTGGCTACTGTTTCGCCCCCGAAATATAGAGTCAATCCACTTTTACAGCGAAGCGCTTTGAGACGTCTCAACTACGTAATAAGGGGCTATATCAAATGCAAGGATTATTATTAATATTAAATTATTATCTACACCGCCTGGTTAATGTGGAGGGATATCAGTCAGGACAACTCCATTCTCTTCCCCAGCAGTGACGTGGGATCTTTAGTGTCCACCTCCACCTGAACAGCGCACAGACGGGGGTGAGGTTTAACGTCTCATCTGAAGGACAGCGTCTCTGACAACGTGTCGCTCTCTCTCTCTCTCTCTTTCTCTCGCTCTCTCTCTCCCGCCAGCGAGCTCAGCTCCTGCTACATTTGCCTGCAAAATTCACCGAATCTGCAGATGACAGTAATTGCCTGTGTAAGTCTTTGGAGACGTTTTGACATTGTAAGTGCTGGATGGAATGTGAGAATTAATGTTATTACGTAATTTGAAACAGCGGGAGCCAAGCTGAAGAAAGAGAGTTTAAGTGACTGCAAAGTGACTGCATGTGATATGGCTGAACTTGCTCTTGTGTTAAGTAATTAACTATGATAATAATAATAATCCTTGCATTTGATATGGCGCCTCATCACATCTTCGAGACGTCTCAAAGGGCTTCGCAGGATAAACTGTAAAGTAACTTGACTGTATTTCGTGGGCAAAGGCAGCGTCCCACAAACAGCCGTAGACTGAGTGACAAAATTATTGCTTTAATGTTTTTTGAAGGGATTATTACCCAGGAAAAGTGATGCGCCAATCGACTAACAACCAGGTTCCTACTTATTGCTAGAGAAACAGAGGCGTGTGGAGTAAGGAAACTTGCCCAACGTTTCACCCTGTCCGGGAATCAAACCTGGGTCCTCTTTGCTTGCGAGGCCACTGAGCTACAGGACTCTACAGAAATGGTTCTGAAGCACCACTAAACTACCCCCAGGACGAGGGAGGGGGTTGCGGAGGTTGCGGTGAGGGGGTTGGGATGGAATGAGGGGAGGTCAAGCTGGAATTCCATCCCCCACACCGCCCCCCCCCACCGCATCAGACAAACCCTTGTCAGCCCGGCTCAGTGGCTCACACTCTCGCCTCCGAGTCAGGAGTTTTGTGGGTTCAAGCCCACTTTGGGGTCTCTGAGCTCAGCACTGGGGGGAAAGAGAGAGAGAGAGAGAGAGAGAGAGACATTGTCAGAGACGCCATCCTTCTAGTGAGTCATTAAACCTCACTCCCCGTCTGTGCTCTGTTCAGGTGGACGTTAAAGATCCTGTGACACTATCGGGAAAAGAAAAGGGAGTTTCTCTCTCTCTCTCTCTCTCTCTCTCTCTCTCTCAGTGTCCGGGCTGACATTAAGCCCAGATAAAAATCTCACTAACTTGACGGCTGTTTCGTGGGGCGTTGCACAAAACACACAGTCACTGCGGCTCGCAGTAAAACCACGTGAAGCATTTTTGAGACGCGATGAGGCGCTATATTAAGATTATCACTAATAATAATAACAAAATGTTCAGCTTCTTCTTAGTAAAATGACTATCTATAGGGAAGGGGGGGAGTGGCATCTGGAATTAAATTTTAACAGCGAGATATGACGTAATAAATAATAATCCTTGGATTTGATATGGCGCCTTATCACATCTTCGAGACGTCTGAAAGCGCTTCACAGAATATACTGTGCAGTGGAGTGACTGTCTATTTTGCGGCAGCCAATCGCGCACAGCAGTGTCCCACAAACAGTCGTGGATTGAGTGACCACATTTTTTTTGAAGGGATTATTATAAGATGTGACTGAAGTCCTCTCCTCCCCCACCACCACCGCCCGCCCCCACCCAAAAAAAAGACTAAACCCCCCCTTTAATTGATCACTTGCCTATCCTTGATGTACCTGTCAGTCTAACACTTGGGGTTTGAGCCCCATTCAGGGGAGGGGAGGGTGGGGGGAGATAAAGAAACCCATCACTGTGTGTTGGGAGAACTTGTCAGTCCGGTGAACAGTCGAAGACGCCGTTTCTCGCCCAAGGCACAGTCTCTCCAGAGAAACTGGATTAAAAAAAAAGCCCCCACCCCTTCCTCAATCCCCCAAACCCCCCCACATCTACCCCAAAACCCTACCCCTTCCAACCCCTCAGTCTGATGCCCTGACCCCTGCCCCAAAATACATATATCTCCATCCCACTCACCAATTTACAGATGTCTCTGTTTCCCCTCCTCCCTTTCCCCCCCACTCCCCCTCTCCTGCTCACTCTCTTACCAGATCCCTCTCCCCCCCCCACACCCCACCTCATTGCCCCATTTAACCCTTTCCTCCCCACCCCCATTCCACCTGCAAACATCAGCCACAGAGCGTGAGATTGACCATCAATCGTCTCTTGTCAAATTCACTCACTCTCTCTCTCTCTCTGTTTCTCTCCATCTCTTTCTCTCTCACTCTCTTTCTTCCCCTCTCTCTCTGTGTCTCTCTCTCACTGTGTTTCTGTCTCTTTCTGTCCATTTATCTCTCTCTCTCTGTGTGTCTCTCTCTCTTTCTCTCTCTGTCTGTCTGTCTCTCGCTTTCTCTGTCCATGTCTCTCCCTCTCTGTGTGTGTCTCTCTGTCTCTCTCTGTCTCTCTCTCTCTGTCTGTGTGTCTCTCTCTCTCCCTCTGTCTCTCTGTCTGTCTGTGTGTCTCTCTGTCTCCCTCTCTGTCTCTCTCTGTGTCTGTGTGTCTCTCTGTCTCCCTCTCTGTCTCTATCTCTCTGTCTGTGTGTCTCTGTCTCCCTCTCTGTCTGTGTGTCTCTCTGTCTGTGTGTCTCTCTGTCTCCCTCTCTGTCTGTGTCTCTCTGTCTCTCTCTGTGTCTGTGTGTCTCTCTGTCTCCCTCTCTGTCTGTGTGTCTCTCTGTCTCCCTCTCTGTCTGTGTGTGTGTGTGTCTCTCTGTACCCCCCACCCCACCCCACTCTCTCTGTCTGTCTCCCAGTTTGTGAGTGTCACTCTCTCTGTGTGTGTATCTCTCTCTCTCTGTCTGTGTGTCTCTCTCTCTGTCTGTGTGTGTGTGTGTCACTCTCTCTGTCTGTGTGTGTCTCTCTCTCTCTATCTTTATCCCTTAGTCTGTGTGTGTGTCTGTCTCTCTCTCTCTCTCTCTCTCTATCTTTATCTCTTAGTCTGTGTGTGTGTATGTCTCCCTGTGTCTGTCTGTCTGTCTGTCTGTCTGTGTGTGTGTCTCTGTCTATCTCTAACACTCCCCAAATCATCACACACACAAAAAAAACACCTTACCTGTGGGAATTTCCTTCTGTCAAGGTTGCAGTCTTGGGAAGGCAGGATTTTTCCTGATTTTCCAGACACTCTCTCTCTCTCTCTCTCCCTCTCCCTCTCTCTCCCTGTATTTCCCTGGAACCCAGAGGTCTGGTTGGGAAGAGTGAGGATGGAGTCAGTCAATAGGGACCGCCTTAGCTTTAGCTCAGTCTGTGAAGCATTGACACATCACACAGTACATTCACACGAATCTCTCTGTGTCTCTCACTCACTCACTCACTCACTCATTCATTCATTCACTCTCTCCCTCTCTCTCTCTCCCTCTCTCTCTCTCTCTCTCTCCCCCTTGATCTTCCTAAGTGTCAACACAGTCAAGATCCTTCTAATTGCTGCACCAAACCATACAGTACAGAGGGGAGGGAGAGAGAGAGAGAGAGAGCAGTTACCTCCTCTCTCTATTGGTTGCATACAAAGACCCCCACGTCCCTCCCCACCCCTCCCCACTCTCTCTCCCACTCTCTCTCTCTCTCTCTCCCCCCCTTCCCCACCCTTTTGCAAAATTACAGTAAGAAGAATCCTTGCGATTGATCTCCCTTCGCTGTGCGCGCTTCCCTGGATTTTATCGTCACGCGTAGTGACTGTTTTGTGGCCAAAGAAGGTCCTAGTGGTCCCGTAGCTCGGTGGTTAGAGCCCTCCTCACCTCGCAAGCGAGAGGACCTGGGTTCGATTCCCGGGCAGGGCGAAAGGCAAGTTTCCTTACTCCGCACGCCTCTGTTTACCAGCAGCGATTAGGAACCCGGTTGTCAGTCGGTTGGCGGATCGCTTTCCCGGGGGTAATGGTCCCTTACAAAAAAAATGTGGTCACTCAGTCCGCGGCTGTTTGTGGGACGTCGCTGCGCGCAATCGGCTGCCGCGTTTGACCCACAAAATGAACAGTCATCATCTCCAAATCCACTTTACAGTATATCCTGTGAAGGGCTTTGAGACGTCTCAATGACGTGATAAGGCCCCATATCAAATGCGAGGCTTGTTATTATTATTTAGACGGTCCAAGAAATTTGCGCAACGCAAGTGAGTGAGCGAGCGATTAATGTGTGGGATTGCTGGCCAGGACGCTGGGAGGGAGAGAGAGAACTCCCTCCACGCTTCTCAACAGCCCAGCGGGATCTTTAGAGGACGTCTGACCAGGGCACGGACGGGGGGTGAGGTTTAACGTCTTATCTGAAGGACGGTGTCTCTGAGCTCTTAAACAACAATGACAAACCATGTTTACGCCGTTCCCTTCGCGTCGAGAGGATGTCCCAACGCGCTGGACAGTCAGGGATTGGGATCTGAGCTGGGGGTTAACACAAGAATGGTGGAGATCACTGGGGGCAGGGAGCGAGGAGCCAAAGGCAACATCCCCACCATCATCATCATCCTCACCATCATCACCATCATCATCCTCACCATCAACATTATTATCACCATCTTCACCATCCTCACCATCACCACCATCATCACCATCATCACCATCATCCTCACCATCAACATTATCATCACCATCCTCACCATCATCACCATCATCACCATCATCACCATCATCATCCTCACCATCAACATTATCATCACCATCCTCACCATCCTCACCATCCTCACCATCCTCACCATCATCACCATCATCACCATCATCCTCACCATCAACATTATCATCACCATCTTCACCATCCTCACCATCATTACCATCATCACCATCATCACCATCATCACCATCATCCTCACCATCAACATTATCATCACCATCCTCACCATCCTCACCATCAGCACCATTATCACCATCCTCACCATCATTACCATCATCACCATCATCACCATCATCACCATCATCCTCACCATCAACATTATCATCACCATCCTCACCATCCTCACCATCATCACCATTATCACCATCATCACCATCACCCCACCATTACCCACCCTCACCAGACTCACTTGCTCCCTGTCTTTCCTTCCTCCAATGGATCAATATCAAGATCCTGATCCTGACTCCCACCCCCACCCCATCACTCCCAGCTCCGACTGACTTTCCCACCCAGTCCCTCTTCCAGACTTCATCCCGGGTCTGTCAATATGTGGCTCAGTCTCTCACACTCATCTTCTGGGGTCAAGAGGATGTGGTTTGGGGGGATGTAACTGCCTCACATTGGATACAGTGCCTGTCACAGGATTTACTGTAAAGTTTAGTGACTGTATATTTTGGGCCCTCTGGTCTCTTTGATGATACAACCCCCCACGCGTCCCGCCCCCACCCCCCCCAGCGCTGCATTGGAGCATCAGCTTAGACTGTTTGATTCCAAGTCCCGATATGGGAGTCCTGTAGCTCAGTGGTTAGAGCACTCGCTTTGCAAGTGAGAGACCTGAGTTCAATTCCAGGCAGAGGGCCAAACCTCGGGCAAGTTTCCTTACTCCACACAGAGCCTAATAATAATTCCTCCAAAACCAAAAACAATAATAAATTGGTCATTTTCAATCTACGACTGTTTGTGGGACATTGCTGTGCGCAATTGGCTGCCGCGTTCGCCCACAAATATACAGTCAATTCACTTTACAGTATATTCTGTGAAGCGCTTTGGGACGTCCTCCCGACGTGAAAAGCGCTATATCAAAATGCAAGGATTATTATTATTATTATGGGGGCTTGAACCCACAACCTCCTTACTCAGAGGCAAGAGCGCTCCTGACTGCGCCAGACAGTCACCACATGTGAATGCAATCACCTTGTGAAGCTCTCCGAGGCCGGTAAGTGTTACATAAGAAGCAGCAGCTCGTGAGTGGAGCAGATTTCTTACTCAGAGAGGAATCAATTTCCTCCGCTCCCATTTCAGTACATTATTTGGCCATTTCCTCTCTGTCAGCAGAGTTGCCGGAGTGATTTAGAGAAAAGTCTGATTTCAGGCTCGCAAAGTGCGGAGATAATGGGAATGTACAGCATCAATTTCGCCTTTTCAGTCACTTAAAATTCCTTCAGTTCCAGCAGAAAAACGATCCTTTGGCAGACGCTAATTCCCTGTCATTTAATGCTGTTTTCCATCTCACAAAGAGGATATGTGTTTTCTTACACAGCCGGTGATTAAAGGCATTCTCTGGGGCAGGAGGTTGGGGGTACGAGGCTGACAATCCCCCAGATAGAAACTGTCTCTCGCTCCACAACTGTTTGCGGGACTTTGTCATGTGCAAATTGGCTGCCTCTTGTTCGCCTGCCGAATGCACAGTCACTACACTTTACAGTGAATCTTGTTGTGCACTTGTGTAGAGGTGGATTGAGGGGCGAGGATTTTAACGATAATAATAATACTTGCATTTGATATAGCGCCTTATCATAGAATCGATTGCACAATTGGCTGCTGTGTTTCGCCCACAAATATACAGTCAATTCACTTTACAGTATAGTCTGTGAAGCGTTTTGAGACGTCTCGAAGACGTGATAAGGCGCTACATCAGAAGCAAGGATTATTATCATTATTATTATCATAGAATCATAGAATTATACAGCGCAGAAGGACGCCATTCAGCCCATTGTGTCTGTGTCAGCATAATGTTGAAAACTTCTATTAAGTCTCGTCTTAACCCTCTCTGCTCCCAGGAGACTAATCCTCGCTGCTCTGCCTCTCCTGATCACTGAAGGCCCTCATTCCTGGTACCATTCTGGTCAATCTGGGACCCAGAACTGAACCCAGTCTCTCGCTGAGGCCTAACCAGTGTTTTATATAAATGTTCATCATAACTTCCTGACTTGTGTATTCTATGCCCTATTTATAAAGCCTCGTGTCTCGAATGCTCTTTAACAGCTGTATCTACCTGTCCGGCCACCTTCAAAGAGTTACTTATATGAACCCCCGGGTCTCTCTGTCCCTTCACCCCCTTTAAGATTTTACCATCAGTTTATATTGCCTGTCCTCATTTTTGCATCACTTTGCTTTCCTCCACATTAAACTTCATCTGCCCCGTGTCGGCCCATGTTACCAGTCCGTCTATGTCCTCTTGCAGTCTGTTACTATCCTCCTCACTGTTCACTACTTTTCCAGCTTAGTATCATCTATAAACTTGGAAATTGTACTCCCTACACCCAAGTCCAGGTCATTTATAGAGATCAACATATATAGTCATTATTATCATGTCTTCGAGACGTCTCAAAGTGCTTCACAGAATATACGGTAAAATGTAGTGACTGTGTGTTTTGTGGGTGATACGTGGCAGCCAATGCACACAGCAATTTTTGATCACGACTGAGGACCTTCCTCTTAGACCTTTTCGTACCTACAGTTCCCTCCTCCCCAGCTCGGTGTCGTGCTCTGCCACTGTTAAGCACTCCAATGATGGTCGTTACATAAATGTATTGAGTGAGTAACGCCCAACTCAAGAATTAACAGCTTGTTTGTGGGGTGAGCAACAGAGGTGGCAGAGGCCAGGGCAATGGGGACTCGTTTAAGAAACAACTTGATATTGTGCTGGGAGGATGGTCGGGGGTGGTGGGAGGTGGGGAGGAGAGGGGAACTAGTGAGGAAGAGATCGAACAGGACAAAGGTTTAACCAAACCTTGTGTTAACTCTCCCTTTCGCAGTGTCTCTCACTGTGAGCGTCTGTCTCAGTGTTTCGCAGCGCACTCCAATACACTCAGACGGCAATGTATGAAGTACGGGATGTGACTAATTCCCTCGAGAAGAATTTCATTTGAAACATAATCTTTCGTGGGAATAACCTGATTTTCGCTTACAGAACTCTCTCCTCACTGAGCAATGCTTCGCTCACAAAACACACTGTCAATCCATTTTACATTATATCCTGTGAAGCTCTTAGAGCTGTCTCAACAACGTGATAAAGCTCTATGTCAAATGCAAGGATTATTATTAATAATAATACTGTGAGATGGTCGGAGACATCCCACAATGTGATGAGACGCTGTATGAAATGCAGGATTATTATTATTTTATCCTGATTATTATTATGATGATGTCATTATTATTCTGTTCCAGCTCCTGTTAGCTACAAGAACTAATTATCACTGTTTTTCAATAAAATATTATTTACTAAAGTTCAGGCTATTTTGGACCGATTACAAATTCTTATAAATTCTTCTCATTTTCACCTGCTGCCGTTTCACAACCACTTCTGCGTGCGTAGCGTGGGCTTTGTGTGTGCGCGTGTGTGTAAGTGAGTGTGTATGAGTGAGTGAGTGTGTGTGAGTGAGTGTGTGTGTGTGTGAGTGAATGAGTGTGTGAGTAGGTGTGAATT